GACAGGTAGGTGCCCTTGATCCTTACCAATGGCACCAGAAAGCCAACACTGGCACAGCAATCTGCTCTTTTTTTTTTCCCTGCCAGTCCTGGGGCTTAAACTCAGGGCCTGGGTACTGTCCCTGAGCCTCTTTGTGCTCAAGACTAGCACTCTACCACTTGATCCACAGTGCCACTCCTGGCTTTTTCTGAGTAGTTTATTGGAGATAAAGAATCTCATGGACTTTTCTGTCCAGACTGGCTTCAAACCGTGATTCTCATATCTTAACCTCCTGAGTAGCTAGGATTACAGGCATGAGCCACCAGCGCCCAGTTTCAGCCTGCTCTTTTTCCCACTTAACGGACTTAGTAAGCATCTCAACAGAAGCGGCACAAGGGAGGGAAGCCCAGCTCTTTGGCAATGTGTCACACTTCCTTCAGCACAGAGGCTGGGGCAGCCCCAAGCTCTCTCCAGAAGGAGATCTTGGTTCCTGCCCTAGCATTTTCCTCCAGCCAGGGTGAGATCATATGCTGGAAGGGGAGGCCAAGGAAGCAACAACTGCTGCTGGAACAGCATTCTCAAGTCAGAAATGACATAACAATAGTACTATGATCAAGACTTTAAGGGATTCTTAGAACATTTCTTTCCAGAGTGACAATCCTCTCAGCCCCATGAGTCCCACCAAAATTGTGGCTCTCATGGTCCCTAGAGTCAAACACAAGAATCAATCCAATCTCATTTCTTCCTCCTCTCCTAGCCTTGTGGGAGAGGGAAAGGCCTGCAGGCCTGCACCCTTCCTGAGCCACCTGCTCTTAGCCTAGGGGATATATTTGTCTTGCAAAAGGTATGATCACTGAGTATAGACCCTGTGGGAAATGGCACAATGGGAAGTGCCCAGAAGAGACAGCAGTCTGGAATCCCCATGGTCAATGGGATGACAGGATATGTCATGGTATAAATCCTCTCATTACCATTGGTTTTAAGCGACCAGTGGTTTAAAAACAGGCTGCTAAAAAATTCAGCAATGATCTTTCACAAACTTGTAGTTACCACTAGCACACCCATGATTCCAGTGGGGTTTTCTTGGAAAGGGAAGGTTAGTGATGACTAAAGTCATTGTTGTTGTAGCTGATCTGCAGTCCACGACTGATACTTAATCACCTCTTCTGTTCCAAACTCTTCCTCACTCTTGGTTAGCACCTGTGCTCATCCGAGGACCTTACTTGGTAGCATGGTCTGATGCCATCTCATGCTGAAGTTGCCACACTTGTCAACTTACTGTGAAATAGGAGGACAGGGCACCAAACGAGCATTGAAGCAGTTCACCTGGAAGCAAATGTATTCCTCCTCACTCCTATTATGTAGTCTGACCTCCTGATGATCAGGCCTAAATACAATGACAAGATCATAGCTCTTCTCCATTCTTCTGGTCCCTGGATATAAGGAGGTGGAAATAACTGACAACAACCTTCTATGTGGTCTAATGGGATTCTTGCTTAGGATCCTGATTGAAATGCTTATAAGCCCATAGCCCACAGCCCAGTGGCAGGAATGGAAAGCACAAATTTTCCAAATAGGCCACTGAGGACAAAAGGAGCCACTTTTTATGTCTTGGTTCCAAGTTATTTGAATTATATCTATTAGAATACAGCTGTATTAGAAATTATACCTTTGAAGAAACAGCTACATACACGTGCGTGTGCACGTGGGAAAACTAGATGACCTAATGGAATGACTGTGCAGCAAAACTATCCATGATAAACTTGTTTTGTCAGACTCACTAAGCTGTAAGGTCAGGTAAGCCCTGTAACAATTCATAATAAAATTGAAGTGGTACATTTGAAAGCTGTGTCCTAAGGACAGCTCACAATCTTGCAAAATACCACCAAGGTGCTTCAATTATTCCTTCAACAGGCTATTGCCCAACACTCTATCAGAGTGACGGCACTGAGTAGAACATTACTGATATAACCAATAAATCCTATGGCCATGGCCCTACCCTTCTGTCATCTTTGTTGTAAAGTAGATCTCTTGATCTGACATGATGTTTATATGGAGGATCCCATTTTGGCACATCAAAAATTCTAAAAGCCCTTAGGATAGCAATGCTGGCCGGATCCTCCCGGAAAAAAAACGGCAAAGCAATACCTGGAATGTATGTTTACTCTCATAAACATGACTCATTGGCAAGTAAGAGAACTAAGGCAGTCAACTAGAAATCAAGTAGCCTGTTGATCTCCTTGGTGTACAGTATTGTGTCTGGATCATTTTGTGAGCATATTAACACCCAACATTCCATGGGATCACCCATGCAATCATAGGTGTGAGCTGGGCGAAAGGTTTTGGTGCCATGGAGGCAGTTGACACAAGGTTACCTGCTTGCAAGGCTCACTTGTGCCTCCAATCCCACTGGACTGATTCAGATGTACCACTTCCATGTTATAATGAATGATTGCTAGGCTCACCTAACCATAAGCTTAGTAGGCCTACCAAAACCCAACTTACTATGGGTAGTTCTTGCCACATGTTCATCTCATCAGGCCCTCCAGATCTACAAGGGCTTGCATATATGTCAGGAGCTATTTTTCAAAAGGTGTATATAATATCCAATACAGGTAGGGGGGAGGCTGGGAAGGGATGTGAAGGGTAAACCAAAGGAGGAGGCTGCAATGCTTGGTAAGAAATGTACGCATTATCCTGCCCATGTAATTGTAACCCCTCTGTACAGTATGTTCACAAATAAAATTAAATTAAATTTAAAAAAAATATCCAATACAGGTGATATGACTTTTATCTAGGACTCTATGAATAAACTATTTTCCAATGGCCTATGCTTTTTAAACCACAGAATCTGCTGATTAATAGAGCTCACATAACAGAACTACTTGTACTGCAGGATGAAACTATGAGAGAGCCCTTTCCTGCTTTGGGCACCCCTCAAACATGACAGGCTCTTATATTACTGACAGGTATATGGGTCAGAGTTATATTTCCAAATATGTGACAGGTGACATTCATAACCCAAAAGTCCCACCAAAGTTGTGCTTCCATCAGAAGTACAAGATGTAGTAGTTGACCCTATATTTCATAGGAAATTTTTTGACTTGATACCTAAAAAGTTTACTGATATGCCAGCCTCTGAATGTTCATAAGGCTTATCTATACCTAAGTGTATGTATTTTAACATGGCCACTGATATTATCTGAGTGGTCTAAAGTGATCAATAGAGTATTTAGGAGGTCCAGAAGGTCTGGATCACTTAGAACTCTATTAATTCATAGGGTAGGAGAGTTAATCTTGCCTTGGAAATTTAAACTGTTGCTTGTCTCAGGTGAATAAAAATGATTTCTGATAGGGGTGAAAAGAAATTAGTGGCCAAATTAGTGGCCATACACTGTATGACTGAGGTCAGATTAATCTAATGTGGAAAAGATACTACATCTAGCTGGGTGCTGGTAGCTGATGCCTGTAATCCTAGCTACTCAGGAGGCTGAGATCTAAGAATGGAGATTCAAAACCAGGCCAGGCAGGAAAGTCCATGAAACTCTTATCTCCAATAAACCACCAGAAAACTGGAAGTAGCACTGTGGCTCAAGTGGCAGAGCACTAGCTGTGAGCTGAAGAGCTCAAGGACTGCACTCAGGCCCAGAGTTCAAGCCCATGACTGACAAAAAAAAAAAAAAAAAAAGATACTACATCTAGTAAGCACACTGGCTGAAACTGAGTCTACAATTTGTTGAACTGTTGGTAGCCACCTAGCATCTTCTGGGGTTTTCTGGTCAATAAAATGACTCCCTTTAGGTTCCCTAAGTGTTAGCTTCTTCTTCTGGTGTCCCTAGAATGTGATCTTGCTTTATTATTTTTGCTAGGATGAGGAATACTGTGGAGACTTCTACTTATTTTTGTTTAGTGAAAGCTCTCAATGCACAGGCCCAATGGTCCAATGTAAGGGTTGTGCTAATTACCAAGTATATTTATCTGATTATGTCACTGAGTGGGAGCCTTCTATGAGCTAAGTTCTGGCCAAGAACTCTGTCCATACACACCCAATTCCATCAAAAGAGTTATGGTGCTATGAAAGGTCCCCAGGTAACAATATTAAGTCAAGTCCTGTGTTCAATGGTCCACAAAATATTTTTTGTTATTCTCCAATTGTATTTTACTCTTTTCATTTTATGAAGTTTGTCTTTTTCCCAGAATGACTGGTCACAGTTGTGCTTAAGACATCTATACTTGACCACAGACCTTAGAGGCTACTACACTCACTGATTTTTTTCAACTTTTTTTTAAATGTTAAATATAAACAGCTTCTTGGTACTTCTTTAGATCACATCTCATTTCTCTTCTTAAGAAATGCATATGCTGGGCTGGGAAGGTGGCTCAGTGGTAGAGTGCTTGCCTTGCATGCATGAGGCCCTGGGTTCGATTCCTCAGCACCACATAAGCAGAAAAAGCTGGAAGTGGCGCTACAGCTCAAGTAGTAAAGTGCTAGCCTTGAGCTGAAGAGCTGAGGGACAGCGCCCAGGCCCAGAGTTCAGGCCCCACGACCAGAGCCAAAAAAAAAAAAAAAAAAAGAAATGCATATGCTCATTTTAAATACTTTTAACACCTGTAATCAACTACAGAAGTTGATAGAAGTAGAGGCATACTGGCTAATGATCGAGATGTGTACAGAGGAAAAGTAAACATCATTAAATATGAATGTAACCCTTATCAACACAAAAGTGGACCATTTTTTTCTCAATAAAAAAGGCTATTCAAAAAAGGGACTCCTTTCATAAAGATTTGTCATTTTTAGGAATTTGAAAGGAACTTGAGTATAAATTTTGTTTTCTACTATGTACCTTAAGGACACCTTAGGAAAAATTAGTGTCTTACACAACAGAATGGCATTTGCAGAATGTAATATTAAAATGACAGTACTGGGGTTGATTACTGCGGACTGTGAGACTCTTTGTGTATTAAATGGTTACATCTTAACAATGCATTTAGAACATTGTTCCAATAACATAAAAATAGAGGAAAAGCATCTGGAAATTTATCTCATTCAGTGTTCAGAGATAAAAAGGTTAACATTCTTTCCATTATTTCCCATAGGTAAGTCCTTGTTCACACTGAAATCTGATGGTAATTACATTCTGGCATTTTTCTAAACTATTGTATGAAGAAGATGCTGAAGGCCATCACTATACAGCACACTGAGACATAGGAACTCTTTCGTTCACCAGTTCTGGCGCACTTCCAAAATATTCCCAACAGTCCAGTTTTATTTCTGTCCAGGATACTGGGTGCCATGGATCTGATATAAGCACACGTACATATAAGCAGCAAGATTACAGTGAACACACTCTGAAAATTGAAAATAGCAGACATAGTGAGACCAGAGATATACCAGCCATATCACCGTTCCAGACCCCAGGCACCACAAAATATTTCTGTACTCTCTTTTTCTTAGTATATATACTTAGCTAAGTAAATAGCTACAAGCTTCATTGGGGGAGAGCTATGAAAGGCAGTATAATAAACATTTGTTGTGATTGTATGGCCTCCATCCTTTGGGGAGATCTGAATGTTTCTCTAATCAATAGATTTAGAGTCTATAAACTGGATCAGGTACGGACATTTGAAAGGAGACTTTCTATTAGAGTGCCAGGATTCACCATCCATAATGGATTTAGTGCCTTCAAATATTACACTATTTCCATAATTCTAAGTCAGACTTTCTTAACTGTCACTCTAACCTTGCCACTCACAACTGAGCCAACTGACTTATGAGAGTTGGGTACTCCCACTAGGAATCCATTATGTCAGAGACCCTGTTGCTAACAGTGAACCAGTTATGTGAAAATACAGCCTACTACAAGTCATTGCTTACAATTATGTTAACCCTAGTTATCAGCCTGTGGCTTTTTCTGCTCAAGGCTGGTGCTTTACAACTTGAGCCATACCTCCTCTTTCTAGTTAATTGGAGATAAGAGTCTCATGGACTTTTCTGCCTTGGCTGGCTTCAAACAGCAATATTCAAAACAGCCTCCTGAACAGCTAGGTATGAGCCACATAAGGCTGCTATAATGTAGCTTCTTGCATTATATTATTAAAGTAAAAGGCCAGCTTCGGCTCTTAACAGAGATGAATAGGTTACTTCTGAAGCCACAGAATGCTTAGGGAAGTCTGAAGATACAAGATTTTCTAGTCAACAGAGATCTCTATCAAGGGAAGGTCCTATTCTTTCCCCATGGGGGCTCTGTTCTTTGGCATAGGAGACCTGCTTCAAGTTGGAGTTTAACTATTCAAGTTGGAGATCAACTATTGTATTAGTCAGCTTTTACAACTGCCATATGTAACAGCATATCTAAGATTTGATATGTTATAAAGGAAAGAATTTTATTTAGCTTACAGTTTTGGAGATGAAAATTCAAACAACATAGTGTTAGTGTTGGCAAGCCCTCCATCCCTCCAGCCACACCACTTTATGGTATCTTGGCTGGTTTATGTGCAACAGGGAAGAGATCACATGGCAAAAAAGGAAGCCAGAAAGAGATTCGTGGACCAAACTTACTCTGTTACAATGCACTCTTGTGAGAATAAATGACTCACTTCACGAGACCAGCATCAATCCTTTCCAAAGGCAGCACATCTATCTGTGATCTAATTACCTTACACTAAAACTCTATCTCTCCAACATCTCTACCACCTCCCAACACGACCACACCAAGGACTAACCTTCCTCCAATATTCGGGACATAGTCTAACCATATTCAAAACAATTACTTCGACAAATAAATCCTAGACCTTGTTCTTAGCTTTTTCTCCTCTTTTCTTTTCTTTTTTTTTTTTTTGGGTCCGGTCGTGGGGCCTGAACTCTGGGCCTGGGCGCTGTCCCTCAGTTCTTCAGCTCAAGGCTAGCGCTCTACCACTTGAGCCACAGCGCCACTTCCGGCTTTTTTCTTTTTTGCTTATGTGGTGCTGAGGAATCGAACCCAGGGCCTCAGGCATGCAAGGCAAGGGCTCTACCACTGAGCCACCTTCCCAGCCCCTCCTCTTTTCTTGTAAGAGATAAAAGCTCTTTATATGCACTAAAAAGGCCTGTGGCTTTTCACACTTGGCTTTCCATTGCTAACTAATCACGCTAAGATCATCATTATCTTTTTATTGAGATTTAGTAATCTCAGTAATTCCCCTATTTCTCAATACCTGATGCAATGCACCAGCTAATGCATACTCAACAAGAGCTGAAGTTTTAACAATTGCATTATTACTGTGTACCACAGGCTGCCTCATTTGCCATTTGTGATGGGGTCTTCACTGGCAGCAGGCAGTGGGTGATCTAGCTTAAAAATTCCTGTTTCACATCTCATTGTCTGGAAACACACAACACAAATTGGGTGTTATAGGCAGCAAAATCTAAGTCATGCAGGACCTTTACAATAAAGTCAGCACCTGTGGGAAAGAGGACTGAAATAGGATTTAATCAGAAGAAGCCAAGTTGCCATGCAATTTCTACCAAGATTCTAGCTGAGCTCTTCTTAGGCTTGCTCTTTCAAGTTTCCCCAAGGTGGGGAGGTACTAGGTCTTTAAATTATCACATTTATTAGTCAGAGCTCCCCCAGAAGTAGATGTGACCTAATACAAGGCAATTTTCTAAGCAGAGGCTAGCCCCAAAGAAGGCTGCTAATGGAGGCGTCTTCTGGAATCTCTCCCAGCAGCTGACAGCATCTTTCATTCATAAAGAAAGATCTATGATGTCCAATCTTGTGGGCATCTATAAGACTATCTTTAAATGCCACAAACAAATTTAACTCCTGAAAAAATGGGTTTGAGGCCTGATGCTTAAAAACCTATCTCCAAGAGGTTTGTATATAAGTTTATCTGATTTGGGGAAGGGAAGGGGAATCACAGAAAGGGGGAGACAAAGGACAAAGGGTGAACCAATACAATAGCAATATTCACAAGACACTGTGTTAGAAATGCGTTATAACTGGGGGGAGAGGAGTAGGAGAAAACAAGGGAAGGGGTAACACTGTTAGACAAGAAATGTACTCATTACTTTACTTATGTAACTGTAACCCCTCTGTATATCACCTTTACAATAAAATAAAATTTTAAAAAGAAACAACTTAAGTGTCCATCACCTGGTAAATGAATAAAGACAATGTGGTGCATATACACAATAGAATACTGTTGAGCCATGAAAATAAATCTTGCCATTACAATATGAATGGAAGTAGAGATCGTTATATTAAGTAGACTAAGCTAAGCACAAAAAGAAGAGCACCACATGATCTCACTCATGTAGAATTTTAAAAATTCTGATATCATAGAGTATAGAATGGTGGTTACTGGAGGTTGGGGACAGAGTAAAGGGGTGAGAGTCTGGAAAAAGGAAAAAAGTGACTACTAATTTATAGACAGGAACATGAAAGAAGCTCTAGGGTACTTTAGGTCACTTTGGATAAACCCAGAGAAGGTCTTTGTTCTGACATTCTCAGATACTAAACTCCTCAAGAAAAATGGCTTAGCTGGGTGCTGGTGGCTCATGCCTGTAATCCTAGCTACTCAGGAGGCTGAGATCTGAGAATCACAGTTCAAGCCAGCCTGGGCAGAAAAATTCATGAGATTCATCTCCAATTAACCATCAGAAAACTGGAAGTGGCACTGTGGCTCAAGTGGTAGAGAGCTCACCTTGAGCTGAAGAGCTGAGGGACAGTGCCTAAGGCCTAGAGTTCAAGCCCCATGACTGACAAAAAAAAAAGAGAGAGAGAGGAAGGAAGGAAGGAAGGAAGGAAGGAAGGAAGGAAGGAAGGAAGGAAGGAAGGAAGGAAGGAAGGAAGCAAGCAAGGAAGGAAGCAAGGAAGGAAGCAAGGAAGCAGGGAGGGAGGGAGGGAGGGAGGGAGGAAGGAAGGAAGGAGGGCAGGCAGGCAGGCAGGCAGGAGGAAAGGAAGAAAGGAAGGAAGGCAGGCAGGCGGGAAGGAAGGAAGGAAGCAAGCAAGCAAGCAAGGAAGGAAGGGAGGGAGGGAGGGAGGAGGCAGGCAGGCAGGCAGGCAGGAGAGAAGGAAGAAAGGAAGGAAGGCAGGCAGGCAGGCAGGCTTCAGAGTCCCACCTGTACCATAATAGCTTTCTTCTGTGCCTCAGCCACCAAACACTCTAGAAAAACATTGGGTAGCCATTATCTCTATTAGCTCAGTTCTGTCTGGGTTGGGGTGGAGGAGTCATATACAGCTACTTGGGAAGGAAGGCAAGGAGGTAGTAGTCATGCTTGGGTTGCAATGCCTTAGACAGAGATTTTTATTATGCCAGGTGGCCTGGAGAGAAGCATATCAGGGATAGGCTGAAGTTAGACTAGAGAATTTTAGACCCAGTACTGACAGGGTAGCTATAAAACAATAAGAGCTTCTGCCAAAGAGGGGCTTTCAGAACTGTCTGGAAATACCACTAATCTGAGATGCTGAGTACAGAGTGGCATGTTAAGAAAAGTCAGGAATCCTGTTTGGAGCAGCAGGCTTTGATTTATCTTTAAGGCTGAAACACTCTAGAGTAGCCAAAGTAAGAAAGAACCAAGCCCTAAGGAATCTGCAAACCTAAAAGGGTGACAGAAAAGGAGTAAGCTGCTGAAGAGCCAGTAAGAATCAATCTTGGGGGAAAATGAGAACTAAGAGTAGTGACATCATGGAAGGGAGACTAATTCTTGAGGGAGCAGGTCAGTGTAAGAATGAAGTGGCATCTGTCAGCAGGAATCCTGAGGAAGACAGTGGGAAACAGAAATGATGTTAAGTGGAAGTAGTCTACAAAGTTCAAGTACCTGGAGGCAGGGACCTTTGGGTAGGCTGAATATTGAGCAAGATTCAAAGATCAGCCTTGTACCTGCAGATCACCTCAGCTGCCCCTTCTGAGCTCTTCCCAGGGCCTTGCCAAAGCAGGATGGACAGGAACTGTACTCAGGTCCAAGTGACAGCTCATGCCTGGGTTTCCCCAAGGCAGCACTCTGTTGGGTCCACCCATCCACTCTGGTAGCTCTAAACTCTTCTTAGGCATGGCCACATCCATTCGTTTTTAAGGGCCTTTCCAATAGGCTATACTGTTTCCTATAGGAAAACCCCAGCTCTGGGCAAACAGACCCCTGCCTCTTGACTAAGGCCTTCAGAATCTGGGCCAGAGGCCAGGGTGAGGCGAGTCAGAGTCAAGACAGAAGTTTTCTCGTTTCCTCAGTTTGTGTCCCTAAACATCTTCTCCTGCCCTAGGAGATGACTGTGGTAGCAGTGAGGAGCTAAAGTCCACAGTCACTAGGGTAACCTGTTATTTCTTTAAAGCTTACTATAATTGTGTGAGAAGGAAACTGTGATCTTCCCTTTCACAGATGATGTAATAACCAAAGAAATGAATTGTTCAGGG